TGAACAAAGACTATCCTAGGGCTTTGAGAAAATGCATTTACACTTCCTTTTAACAGAATATAATTTGCACACAACTTCAGTGCATTGTGAACATTTCCAAACTCTCCCAATGCTGAGAAGGGAGCCTGTAGCTGGCCAGCTTCAGGGCAATCTAGGTACCCTAATAGCAGTTAGTTAAACACCCAGGAAGGACTCTGACAGCCCCTGTTTCTTTGTTCCCCAGGTGCCTTGGGGCAATTTTTAGTAAACTCTGAGATCCTATGTGGAAGTAAGAAAGGTCTGCTCTGAGAATGATGAAAAGAAAGAAAATATTAGGTATACAAGATGGGAGACAGCACAGCACCACAGCCCAAATTATATCTGCTCAATCCACTCTACATTAATTACAGGTAAGAAGTGAATTTCAAGATCTGTTTCTTCTCTATCTCAAGAGAAGGCTTAGAAGAATGAGTGAATTCCAGCCACTTCCTCAATAATCATGGAGTATGATAAAAGAAATTCAAAACCTCTAAGTGTGTCAACTCAGTATACAGTCAAGGACACATAACACCATCTCCACTAAACTGCTACAAACAGCCAAGCTTCAAAGCCCAGAGGACCAGAACTAGCCCACACTGGGTCGCTGTGCAATCAGACAGGTTAGCAAGCAAACAGAGCCAAGGCACATTGAGCATGTTGGGGTTGGGGGAGGGACAGACAAATCTCGCCAGCAGGAACTCACTCACACAGGGTTGAACAGAGTTGAAATCCAAGTGTTTGATGTGCATTAGGAACCATCACAGGTACAACTGCAGCTAAACACACCTTGTCCTTGGGTCCCTATCACAGGTAACCTCTCTGCAGGCTTGTCATCTAAAGGAAACCCAGGGCTTACAGGCTGGAGGGTAAATGTGTATTATACATGCTCCACATAAACTGGACGGAGTCCGGGAAGCAGAACCAAGAGAACAATTCCATTCCGGCACTAGTAAGGTCAGATTTAGTGGCTGCTAAATCTGGCGGTGAGAGTACCCTCAACTAGGATTCAAGGATGCAAACAGAAAATTCAAAGTACTTTTTACTGCTTCAAAACCCAGTTACATTTAACTAGCACAGCGGAATGGGGTGCTCCACAGCTCTGCCGAGGCTGAGAGCCCAAAAGCACCAGCCTGAAACCTTGCTACCAACTTAGCATCAGGGTCCTCTTGAGTTGTATTTCTAGTGGCAACACCTGCCGTATGTATGGCAAGCCTCCAGCTCACCTGTGCTGGTAGCCGCTCGCTCAGCTCCCAGAAGGACCTAAGAAAGCCATGTAAGAAAAGCATCCAACCTGCCTCACTCTAGAAAATAGCACAACAGAAATAGACAACAGAAAATAGCACCTAACAATTTATGTCCTGACCACTTGATTCACAGTAACACACTTAATCCTCACAGCAATTTATGATGAAAACCATCATCATCCCCACCACCATCATCCCCATCCCCACCACCACCACCATCATCCCCATCCCCACCACCATCATCCCCATCACCACCACCAGCATCATCACCCCCATTTTTCAGAAACAGCAAGACACAAGTTCCAAGCTGACCCCAAGGCATAAGTATGATGACTTTGCTGGAACACGATCTTTAGCAATTCAGTTCTTTATCTCCCACTCAGAGCATATGGCTTCTCTATCAACTGTACGGGGAACCCAACTTTAGGTGTCAATGCCATGTACTACTACACCAGGAGCCAGGGGTTGACAGTGATGTAAATCACTATTTTACCTACAGTTTTGAAATGTTTCTCTCTGCAAAAAGTCTGGGCTTAGCAAACAGCACTCACATTCCCCATGCGTCGAACATCACCTGAGTCTGTTACTTGGCATATCTTTTTTTTACTCAAAAGAATCTCATAAATCATCCATCCCACCACCTAAAATAATCCCTTCATTCCTCAAGAGACTCAGGATTCAATTATCCCACGAACAGAAAGAAAAGTGAAGGGAGGGGACTGTTAAAAACCTCAGCCGCCGACAGAGCAAGCTGCCTGCTCTGTGAAGAGTCCACTGAGACAGAGCAAGCTGCCTGCTCTGTGAAGAGTCCACTGAGACTTAGTCATTTTAACAAGTTTTGTAGATGTTCTTGAGAGAGTCACCACCACAGTACAGAGGTACAAAGGCATAGGCTCTGAGGTGGAACTGAATGGTAAACAGTAGCCGTGCCTCCCGGGCCAGTGAGACGGTTCAGTGGGCAAGGGTGCCTGCTGCCAAGCCTCAGGCTGCAGTTTAGTGCCCAGACCCACGTGTGGTCGAGGGAGAGCACCTATTCCCACAAGTTGTCCTCAAACCTTACACAAATACACATACAGAGAGAGAGAGAGAGAGAGAGAGAGAGAGAGAGATTAAAACAAAAATGTAAAAGAAAAAAAAAACACTAATAACTACTTCTAAGAGGTTGATAGTCTAAGGAATTCCACTTCCCAAGGATTATCTAAATGCACAGCTTTAATAATAATCACAAGAATATAAAAAAAGGGAAATCCACAGGCTTCCAAAGGGTAAGAGAAGGCTGTAATTTTAAAGATTTTGTTATAAATATTACATTCCAATGCGTAACTTATCAAGCCTTCTAGCCGATACTCTTCGGATCACACACACACCACCAACCACCTACAAATCCAATGAAATTTGTATTCCAAAAGAATATTTTGAATAACTACACCTTCTCAGGAAGAGATCAGAAATTAAACACACACACACAGAGAAATCTGTTGTAGACTTGGAATAATGGTAATAGTGGAAAGTAAATTTTATATTCTTCAATAGAAAAAAGGATAGAGTGCGCATAGTCACATTATCTAATATGCAAATATTGATGTCACTCTGCTTCTTTTACTTCTTGCTGTGGGTATTTTCATGTTAGATCAATCATCCTGTACAGTACCTGAAATCTCCTAACATCTAAAAGAGACATGATTGATAACCCCTAAATCTAAACCAGCACACCAACCACTTCCCCGCTACAGATGTTTTAAAGGAATGACCATCAATAATAAAGAATTTGGTATCGTTCTTGGGGCCCATGCAACCGTTGAGGGGATGAAGGCACTCGCCACCAAGCTTGATGACCTGAGGTCCTGCCCCAGAACCCACAGGATAAACAAAGAGAACCACAAATGCAAACTGTCCTCTGACCTCTGCACAAATACATGTACAAAACAATAAATAAATAAATAAATATTTTTTTAAAATCATCATTCTTTTGGTTAAAGGGAAGAATCCAGTTCTCCTCCTCTTCATACGGGTTTCCTTTTCCAAACTTTGCACCGAGGACTGATGTGAGTGTGTGTTCATTTTTTTTTCCAAGGAAAAAGAAATCACACAAGATCCATAAAATCAAGAGTGAGGCAGACACATACATAGACCCCTCTTCTTTAGCTTGACCTAAGAAGACCTGCTGATTCTATTCTTTATCACCTCTCTGACCCCAGAAACTAGTTATGCAGGAAAACCTAAAAGCCCTAATAGGAAATCCCCTTTGTGGCCTCATAAAAAATAAACTTTTATAAAGAGTAATTAAAGCATGTATCCACCACTCTGTATCAATACCAAAAGGCAAATCAAGGACAGCAAAGGAATGAAATGTTACAATACTGTTTCGTTAGTTACAATCCTGCTGAATGCCTTACTTCTATCTGAAATCTCTCAGACACAGCTTCCTGCAGCACAAATTGATTCTTCCCGCAGTAGGCCACGAGGCTGCTGTTTAAACACCACCTCGGTGTTACTTGGCCACGTCCTAAGCATGCTCTCCCACGTCATCCACTGATTACCTGTCTCAAAACACAGCCCGCAGCTGGGCCCCCTCCGGCCTCCTGAAGCAACCCCTTGTGTGTGCAGCTCAGCCTTTTATAGTGGAGGCATGTGATGCGAGGCGCGTATCTGCACCAGCTGTTCCTAATTACCTCTCAGACTGGGGTGAATGACTCAGCAACACAAACTCTTTTAAAGAGTCACCCTACCTTGTTATCCAACCAACGTAGCGAACAAAGGGAAGCCACTTGACAGATCCGACGGTTAAACAACAAGAGGCGATCACTCCTCCAAAGCTACCCAACTCCAAGATGACTCATCAGGAGCCTTTTTTTCCCCTAGACTCCCTTACGATGTCCAAAGCCAGAAGTGGCAAGCGCCTTCAAGCCCAGCCCAGAGCTTGCACCACTACCACAAGAGCAGGAAGAATAGGCCAACCCATACCTCTTCCCATTTCTCTGAATGTTTGTAGAGCTCAAAGGCTCGGCTACTAACAAATCTACAGTGGTCACCCTTTAATCTTTCTGACCTGCCTTCCCTGCAAACCCAGTGGGCTTAAAGGAGTGCTCCAATACCTAAACAATGACCCAGCAGGGGCATCCTCCAAGGCGAGCAGTCACAACTCTACAATTCTCCAGAAAAAGAACAGCATCCTGCAAAAAAAAGTCTTTGTTCTTCCAAGCCTGTCGCAAGGAGCTGGATTTTCCCACACACGTTCTTTCAGAATTACTACTACGTCTGCCTTGACTCAGCGCACGCTAAACGTAGAGAGCTCACTACATCAAAAGCCACCGGCGCATTTCCACTAAATGACACCAAAGTACCGGAGAAGATCGAGAACGCGTTGGCCCTGGCCCTACCCGACACAAACACAAAAGCTGGTGTCGTTAACACCGAGATCCACTCTGTCGATGCTGTGCGAGTCTAAATTACAAACGTGCGCCAAGCTGCAACAAAGGGAAGCGCGGACCGCCGGGTGGTCCCGGAACCCCGGCCGGCTCGGCCTTGCCCCCGCAGCAGGCTGAGCGGGACGCGGCCCGCGGAGCGCGGAGCGCGGAGCAGGGCGGCGCCGGCACGGCTAGCCCGGAGAGTCCGCGCTGCGCATAAACAGCGCGCAGCCCGCCGCCCCTTCTAGGCCCGCGCGGCCGCCCGCCACCAGCCCCGGTGACCCCCGGGAAGGACGGAAGGACGACAGCCCGCACCGCCCGAGCCACTCACCGGAGCCGAGGCGCCGCGCGGCCCGACTGCAGGCGGCAAGCGGCGGTCAGGTGACTCACTCCCTCCGCGCGGACGGCCGCCCGTCTCCTCCCCTGCGCTCCGCTCCACTCCGCCACCGCCGCCTGCGCCTCTCGGCGCTAAAGCCCCGCCCCAGGCCCCGCCCCGCCCCATAGCTGAAGCCCTGCCGAGATCCAGGCCACGCCCGTGTCTGGAGCCACGCCCCGTTGCAGGCCACGCCCTCCGCTGGTAATATCCTCTCTATTTTGCCTCGGGCGAGTTCGATGTGGCTTTGCGGAGGTTATTGCTGAGCGCCGGGCCTCCAACCGCGTCGCCCTACCTCTGCCTTTGGTGGCAAGGTTACACGTCACTGGAGACCACCTCCTCCTCACCTGCTGAAGAAAAAAAAAAGGCCGATGCCTCCACGGCCCCAAAATTGTTCTTCCCACCTCCCCCCACACACATACAACAGGTTAGATAAGGGTCTTCTGCCCCACGCCCCCCCACACACACACCCGAAAACCTTGGAAGCTCGGTTCAGCCAAGCTCCTGGGCTGCTTTCCTGTGGGAGCGCGAGAACCAGGTGTTTGAATTTGCTGAAAAAGGTGTGTCAACATCTGTCTGGAGCTCGGCAGGACTTTTAGGAGCAGATTCCGAGAGGAAGAGGCTGCTGCCCCTCTAAATGATCACTAACTTCAGTTCAAGTTGTTTGTGTCCGATGAGGCCCTTCCTCGAAAACCACAAGGCATGTAACCTGAAGTGTGCTTTGCTCATTATAACCCATTAATATGCATGCATGCTTTCCTGATCAAATCCCTTTGCTCCTTGAGCTCAGCCAATACTACTGTGAGAGTTAGTCCTGTGCCCTTCATACTTGCCAAAATAAACTGAACTCTTATCGGCTAGCCGTGACCGGCATCATTCACCAAGGAGCAAACACGTTGTACTGGGCTTCACACACATCCGGAATATTGTACTAAGCATATGGCAGCCTACTTCTGTCCTTCTATGCTGTACCACCGGGAAACATGGATACATCAATGTCTGGTGATGTCAGCCGTCTTTCCTCAAGCCCTGGTCATGCTTCCATCCTCAGCTGCTAATCTGGGTGTTTTTCCAATTGTTTACTATGTTCACTGTTGTTCAAGGCAGTGTCTTTCCGCAAAGCTGCAGTAGCTCGCGGCAAGGCTTATCAGTCTGAAGAGTGTACTGGGCTAGACAACCCGATTAGAAATGAGGAAGGAATTACCACCCGTGAGGCATGTGGTCCCCTGAGGCCTGTAGCCCTGGGAGGACATGTGGAAAGAAACAATGTTGCTGGCTTCTTGGGCATTTCCCTCAGTTGCAGATTCACTGTGCTCCAGTTCCCACCCCCACCACCACACACACAGACACACACACACACACACACACACACATGCTGAGCATGTTTACAAATTGAAGTGCACAGTTTCCTATGCTCTTCTGAGAGTGTTTCATCTGTCAGCAGTTAAGGATCTCCTTGGGATCTTTCCCATTACTCATTTCTTAAAATATTAATTAAAAAAAGATTGTTCAAATGCGTCTTCTCTCATGAGGTTTTTAAAGGGGAAAAAATCTTTAAGAGCCTGGGAAGGGTGCTGGGAAGATGGTTCAGACATTAAAGTGTTTGCCTTGCAGGTGTGAAGACTTGACTTCAAATCCAGTACTCACCTGTAATCCCAGCACTGGAAAAACGGAAATAGGGGGATCTCTGGAACTCTATAGCTAGCCAACCTAGCCAAATCAATAAGCTTCATGTTCAATAAGAAACTCTGTCTCAAAAGCAAAATAAGGTTGAGAATTATAAGACACTGGAGTTGACCTGGGTCCCCATATGTACATCCACAAGTGTACATGCGCATGGACACATGAATACATTCACATGCATACATCCTTGTGATGGTTTGTATGTTTGACCCAGGAAGTGGCGCTATTAGGAGGTGTAGCTTTGTTGGAGTAGGTTTGTCACTGTGGGAGTGGGCTTAAGACCCTCATCCTAGCAGCCTTCGGATGAAGATGTAGAACTCTCAGCTCTTCCGGTCACTGTCATGCTCCCACCTTGATGATAACAGACTGAACCTCTGAACCTGTAAGCCAGCCCTAATTAAATGTTGTCCTTATAAGAGTTGCCTTGGTCATAGAATCTGTTCACAGCAGCAAAACCCTAAGACAATCCCCTATACAGAGAGAGAGAAAGAGAAAGAGAGAGAGAGAGAGAGAGAGAGAGAGAGAGAGAGAGAGAGAGAAGGAAATTTGATTATTATTAACTAATACTGACAATCAATTGAGAAAATCAGCCTACTGTACAACACAAAGAGTCTATGCTACCGCATAGCAGAGACTCACACTTAGTGCTTCTTTGTCCCATAGCTGTGGTTTCCCAGTCCCCATGAAGATGTACCCATGAAGCAGGGACATCCCAGCCTGTTGACCACTTGTGTTCCTTGTCTTAGCAAAGTGATCGGCAAAGCTTTCCGTGCGACCACCTCCTGGCAATACACCACCATTCTCACACTGCACTGTGCATGGGCATTGTCACGTTTATTTCAAAAACAATACTCTGTTTTCAAACATTCCTCACCTACTCTCTCTGAGACATTATACTAGCTTTATCACAAAAACAAGATTGTGTCATTAACACTGAAACACATTTTAAATAACTCGAAGCCACTGCCAAGAAGAGATTTTTTTCGAAGAAATCTAGAAGTATTCGCCATCGTTCTCTCTCCCAGGGACAGAACGCCTGGCATGGCTCTCAAGATGAAAAAATCCAAATCTTTCCAGGAACCAGCATGTGGTGACTGTGAGGGACAACATGGCACCATATCTTAACAAAACGTAGCATGTGTCAGATGATAGTTGGGTCTTCCATTTTCTTTTTCCTTATGTCAGGGGTGAGCTACAGAGTCACAGTTACTGCTCAGTCACACTCAGGTCCATGTCTTATTTCCTAGGACACCCTACGGTCCCTCTAACAGTGACTCAGGACAACCTCTGTCATCTCTCCACCGTCTGAGCTTCTGTAAGTAAATATCCACTAATTCCAGTGGCAAAAACTCTGGGTGGGGCCAATCTAGGCTTTGAACTACAAGTAGGGAATGCTGAGATAAAACAGACCCCTACCTCCAGTGATGAAGAAGTAAAGCCATAACCCCAACTCTTCATTTGAATCTACGTGTGTGTTCACGTGCGCTAGTGCGTGCGTGCGTGCGTGCGTGCGTGCGTGTGTGTGTGTGTGTGTGTGTAAAAGGCATTCTTTATTTGAAGATAATGAAAGACTCCCTAGGGAACAGTGTTTACTGGATAACAGAAAAGAGAAAGAAGGTGAAGAGAAATAGTCCAGTGAAGAGAGAAGGCAGAAGCCAGGAGTGGTAGCACACCCCTGTGATCACAGAGCACAGGTAGTCATGAATTTGAAGTCAGTCTGGGCTACATAGCAATATCCTTGCTCAACCCCCGCCCCCCAAAGCATAGATGGCAGACAAAGGGAATGAAGATTCTAGAGCAGAAAACAACTCTGTGTGACAAGGACTGAAGGTGTGAACAAGGTGATAGGGAGACAGCAAATTTAATGACATCCAAAGTGGCTCAAAGACAGAAAACATCTGCACTTCCAAAATCTAGCAGAAGGCTGTAGTGAGATAAAGATGGAGGCAGAATTTGTCTTTCTTCCCGTTGTCTCAAACCCGGTCCTGCTCTGAGGAAAATGTGGCTGGATCTAACCTTTAAAAGGAGTGACCACTATTTCTTCTCCAGAAATGACCTCCCTGAGAATGTCATGCAGAAAACCAGACACCTTGCTATTAGAAGGTCAGCCTGAAACACACCTCTCCATTCTAGCTCAGGGAAGTCTCCAGCATCAAATCCTGATCATTTGCATGAGTTCCTGCCATGGAGTACTTCCTCTAGATGGACATAACAGTAGGTTGTCTTTATCAGAGCAGCTGTGATTACCCATAAGAGACCCTAATGATGAGGCCTACTGATGTTCTCTCAAAGAAAAAGGCGAGGGGCTCATTAGTTCCTCCTCTTAGATTTCAATGACTAACTTGCACCTTTCTGCCAGCCATCTGTGATTCTGCCCTAGTTCCATGTGGTCTTGAGAGATGCCAAAGTGAAGCATTAGAAAGTTCTCGGAAGGCTAGGACTCCATCTGTGCAGCTATAGGGAAACAGTCATGTCTTTCCATTGTACAGGTTTTCTGGGGTTTCCCACCCTCTAGTAAGTAACCCCTCCCTCATGATTCTATAAGTAATCCCCAAATGTAGTGAATCATCAAGATAGGTAGATAGGATCATTACATTGATCTATCATTAATACCCTATTTGGAATGAAACTGAAAATATATATCCTTAACAGATTGTGGTCCAGGTAAAAGAGTACTTGTATTTTAGAATGGAATGACGACAGTGAGTGAGATGTGCTGAAATCCTAGAGAAGAAAAGAATCATAAGCACAGACGTCATCACAATAGCCTGTTCCCTAGACTGGAATGCCACAGGTAAGAAACACTTTCAGTAAAGAAACAATTTCTCTCTGAGATTTAAAATCTATAAATAAAATCTGTGATGACAGGAGAGATGTCTTTGTCACAGAGACACAGAGAATTGAATTAATTGGAAGTGGTTGATTTGTACCGCTGGCCACTCCAGCTTTTGTTCCTTCAACCTCCATGCCCTATATTTCCAGTGGCAAACCTTAGGACGCATGGGCTCCCCCATCAATTGTCTGTGTATAATAGCATGTGACATTACCAGCTGAGTTGATTCCCCACCAACCCATGGGTTGTCTATGGCTATATTCCTTTCTTAAAACCCTCAATTTCTCCCAGGCCACTTTCACCTTAAGTTATAACTAAAACAACATCACTCCAGGAGTGCTGATACAAAATGTCCTGTTTTGCCAATCTTCCACATTAGGATGCATACCCCTCCTCAGTGTGTTCTGCTCTTGTCCCTGAGAGTGGCCTCATCTGGTTCTTGCCAGTTTCCTGACCTACTAATGGTCAGAAGTTGAATATAAGTGCAGTGACTATGTTAACACATCTAAACAAGAAATGTAGCTGTGGGAAGTTA